AAAATTATGATAGTTTTAATTTGTTGAATTCTAAATTTTATTGTATTGCTTATTTTAACAGCAAAAATGAAAAATAGCACAACCAGTCATGTATAAGTTAAAAATGAGTATTAAAATAAGAAGTCAATTAAAACTTTAGAAAAGTAATCTAATGCAACTGGTGGTTTGGGGGGAACCACCAGTTTTCTGGGGAAAAAAGAAAGAATTCAATAGAATTCTGTAATTTAGACAAAGTCTAATGGAGGAACTGATATGTAAAATAGTAAGAAGTAGAACTCTGCTGGCTGAAAGTAGAGTTGGGAAGTGAGAGACAGCCCACTTAGACCCTGTATCTGTCAGTTTGGTCTATAATAATGCCATGTAACAAATAGCCCCCAAGGCTACAACCACAAAAGTTTATGTTTTGCTCACAGGTCTATAAGACGGCTGCTGTGACTCTGTTCTGTGTGATAGCACAAGTTTAGATCTGCACCACATGCATTCTGATTGTAGTACTGGGCTGAAGGAGCATCTCCCACCTGGGACTTGATGCCCTCATGGCAGTACTGTAAGAGGTTGAAGCTGATGTATGAGGTACTCCTTAAAGACTTTATTAAGAACTGGAGTACTATCCTTTCCATTACTCCAAGCAAATAATATGGCCCACATCAGAGAAGTGAGGAAGTAAATATGGAAAGAAGGGCAGGGCATTTGCTGAACTAAAATATTCACTGTTGGCCTCTTTTGCCCCTCCTGAGGGACTTCATCTACCTCCATAGAACCCCAAGGTCCTAAAAGTGGAGTGTTATGACTGATAGCCAGATCTGACTCCCTTCCTTTGACAATGTGGAAAATAGGGTCAGGGTGCATCACAGCAGGTTGGTGGGGCACTAGTGTCAGAACGTGGATTTGCTGACGCATGGCTCCTCTCCTCCAGCTGATGAAATAGATGTTTTGTCTACTTAAATTTTTGAGACTTCAGGCAAAACTTATCATTATAGGGAACACAGAGAAAGTATTAATTAACTCATGCTTGGAATAGATTCAGTCCATTTACCCCCCTGACTTTGTCCCTGTCAAAAGCATCTTGGCAAGGATTTGCTGTCAGCTTCAGTCATGGGACTTGCTTTAAGGCCCCTCAAGACAGAAAGCGAGATGAGAGCTTGAAAGGAAACTGAGAGTTATGTTGTTGTACCTCTGGTTGATTTCTGTTTTGGGTTTTCAGATTGCTTTTTGTAAATCGGGGATATTTTTCTGATCAACATGAAAGAGCCTATCCTTTGGCTCGCCCTGTAAAAATGTCATGTAATTCCTAACAAACTCAGGAGAAGCCACAGACAGATACAATGGAGGGAAAGAACAACCAGTTTTATATTTTCAATTATTCTCGAAAACGTGTTTTCCTTACAGAGTTAACAAGCATTCTGCAAAGATTCCCAAACTTTTCTTTCTACTGTTGAAGTTCTTCCTGTGAGCCTGAGGGTTTTATAATGATGAGCCTCCTAAATCCTTAGCACTTCCTTTTAGAAACAAGAGTATTTAAAGATCAGTATTCTTTACAAATTGGTAAAAGACTTAAGCCAGGATTTTACCTCTTCTGTTGTTAAACAGCAGAGAGCAGCAGTCTCAGACTTGCTTAATTCTAAGTAATGAGAGTCTGTGTTTGAGGAGAAACCTGGTTGCCAACAAAGGGATTGTAGTTAGGTGCAAGGAAGTCAGCCCCAGAGAGAGGACCTCTTTCTGAGGATGCCCACACCCGTGCATTTCTGCTTCCCTAGAGGCAGACAGTACCACCTCCATCCTCCTGACCTGAAGATCTCACAAACAGTCAAGAGAAAAACCTTTACCAAGTAGAAGTGCATATCTCTCTTAGAGTAACAAAGAGAAAGAAAAGGGTAATGAGAGAACTAACAGCCAATATCAGAGTGGGGCAAGCCATCTTCCTGGCATTTATAGCTTCCATCTCTTCTTTCTGAAGTGCAAGATGCACAGGAGAGAACCTTAGTTCTTAGGACAACAATGTAACACTCTCCTGAGACCCTTTCACTGCTTTGTAAATGAACGTGGCTCCAGAAGCAATCAAGTTTATGATCTGCCTAATCTCTATTAGCTCAAAACCAAATCTTAATGATCTGGATCAATACAAACCCAGAAGGATGTTTTAATGCTTGGATATTTGTGAATCTTTTATGTCCTCTAGATTTCATCTGGCCCATAACTAGACAAAATGTGAATATACTAACTTTGTTAAGGAACTAAAGTTTCATTTGTGTGGTTCATTCATCCAGGGGCAAATAGAAGAGTTATAATAATCCAAAGCACCTTTTGAGATCAATCTGTAACATTTTTTTAATTTAAAATTGATGGAAGAAATCACCTGGCACAGCTTTAATTTAATGAATAACTTAAAATCAGTGAGAAATGAGTTTTTCTTAGTGAGATAGGCAAAATTTTGGCTTGCCACCCCCCTCCCCAATTTCCACTCCTGGTGTACATACACTGGACAGTCCTCTCCCCTTGAGTATGAGTGGTACTAAATATGATGGATTTCACTTTTGTGGTGATGTTATATGAAAAAGGTGAAGGAACTTTCAGATGTGATTAAGGTCCCTTAGTCAGTTGACTCTAAATTAATTAAAGGGTAGGTTATTCTGGATCAGCCTGACCTAAGCAGGTGAGCCCTTAAAAGAAGTGGAAGATTCAGAGAAAGAGAGATTCTCCTATTGGCTTTGAAGAATACCCTGTCATGGTGCCAACAGGACCACATAGCATGGAAAAGTAATACACTAGGTCAAATGTTGAACCCTGGTTAGGCAGAGTGTAGAAAATTCTCTCTTTACAATTCCATTCCTGTCTAGCTAATGTTATGCTAGACCTCCCTGACAAGGGCACAAACCTAAATGTAACTTCCAAAGGAGCTTAGAACCCTCCAGAAGGAATCCATGGAGCAGTCACCCCACCCATCTGGGTAGATGCCAATCAGACACCAAAAATGAGGTTTAATGGCTTGTTCCTCACAAGTTAAGAGCAGAAATTCCACATGGACAGCCTCTGGGCCCAGCATACTCATGCAGGTGCTTTAAAAAATGAGATCTGTTGCCAATACGTAAAAAATTTAAGATCTTATACCCAAACTGGGATTTCTGGCTTTTCCTGAAGATTTGAAAGACATGACAACATTAGGCCCACGCTTCTGAGCAGCAACGCCTCTTGGAAATGGGATAGCCACCTAGGTCCTTCTTTCTTCACTCTTGCACCTGGGCTGTCTCACTCATGAGCTTTAAGTGCCAGGTACTGGAGAGTGTGGGTTTGGCACGAGGGAAGCATCGTGTCCCCTGCAGCGAGCCAGTTGGCTGCTCAGCGCCAAGAGCGAATTAAGGGTCCCCCATGCTGGCCAAGGCAGGCCTTCCTTCAGCACTGATAAGTCATGGGCCCAGCTCCTGCTTGCTCTGGCAGGGGAAGCAGGAGAGGCAGGCGAGGAGAAGAGGAACACTTTGGCAGTCTGTCAATCAACACTGCTTCTCAGAGCAGGTATCAAGGTGCAGAAAAATGAACGGCCGCCGCGGAGCTTGACAGGGGCCGAACAAAGAAGCGGCTGGTGACTGGGCTCCTGCCTGTGGTTCTCAGCTTCGGAGCACCCAGGGCTGGGAGCAGGCCACGACCCCACACCTGCTCGCCATTCCTTTCCAGCCAAGCAGGCTCTTAGCAACGGCTCAGTGCGTCACCTAGAAACGCTGAAACCCAAAGAGCCCTTCCAGGCTGAGCGCAAAGGCAGAGGGAGAGCGGAGTGCAGCAGCAGGCGGGGCCGTGTGGCTTCATGCGCCGAGCACCCTGATACCAAGCAAAACCTTGGCAAGGGGAGTCTGGCTGGCATCCGGGGTGCATTGATTGATAGCGCGGCACCCCTGTTCTTGGCCCCTTTGTGTTCACAGGCTCCAACCGGTCGGTCTTTGTCTAGGTCCTGGCAGCCTGCTTCCATACAGAAAGAGGTGGGCATCTCAGCAGCTACCAGGGATGGGAGTGGAGGCAGAAGCAGAAGCAGAGGTTGCAGTTGGTGAAAGCAGCAGAATGCACACTGCTCAGCTTCCCCGGGAGGGAAAGGTAAGGAGGAGACCCAGGCCTGCACGCTGCTTTGCCTATTTCCTGGAAGCCCTTCTCCAAAGCTCACAATGGCTGGAGAGAAGCAGCTAACCCTGGCCCAGTTCCTAGTCCAGCCAATGTCTGTTCACTGGACCAGCACAGAATGTGCTCTTTTAGATGGCATCACTTACTCGGATGCCCTGGGTAATTGGGAGGAAGATTAAAAGGTGTGAGAGGAGCCCGTGTGCCAACCTTGCTCTGTGGAAGCTGCCCCTCCCCACAGTGCTACTGAGCCATTAGTTCATCACCACCTTCTGTTCATTTCCCCATGACCTCACCACCAAGGTGTCCCAGGGGCCTCAGCCCAAGGTTGCCAAGTTCTACACAGGCAACCTTGTCCTGCAGCCCTCTCAGCCCAGAGCCCAGGTCCTCATCTGTCAAATAAAGGGGTGCCTCCACCTGCAACCTGGAGCCATCCTGGACTCCACAGTCCACCTTTCAGAGGCTCAGCTTCACCAGATCACCAGCCCTGGCCACATACCCATTGTCACAGTCTCATACCCATTCAGCTCTGAGCCTGCTACTAGCCTGAAAGGGCATAGAGCTAAGCCACTGCCCTAACTTGAAGTGCAAGAATGGACAGTGTAACCTGGGCATCAGCCAGAAAGAAAACCTTCCACCAGGTAAGAAAACTGGTTAAAACAAACAAACTAACTAACTAACTAAAATACACGAGGAACTGCACCATACAAACGCCAGAAGTGGTGATTGGTAGCATTACTGCTTCGTGTTGTCAATTATATCTTCTCCAGTTAGTTTGGGTTTTGCAATCAGACATGCTTTGCATCAGACTTTTATTGTCTTGCTTCTGCTGAGACCAGTTGATTAGAAGACAGTGACATTTGTCTCAGTGCAGCTCAGGGAGGCATCAGACACAGGAGAGCAGCCTGCATGGTTCTAATGCTTGACCTGCTTGACTCAACACATCCAGCAGTGGTATGAGCTTTCTGGGGCCCCCTAAGGTGCCAGGCGATTTCCTGGGTAACTCTGCGCAGTCTTCATCTTCTCTTAGACCTTTCCCCTGGTGAATTCTCCAATTCCCATGCAGAGGCTTTGCCTTTTCAATGTGCACAACAAGGAATAATCAACGGAGAAGCACACACATGCCTTCCTCCCTGGCTAGAGAGCTGCAGAAGCCCCCATCAGAACCACTTGTCCTCCCTCCATCTCTCCAGGTGATTGATTCTCCTTTCTATGTGTCAGTGGGACATAAGTCCTTTCATGCTATTTTTCTCTCCTGAGCCAAGACTCCCTTTGTTATTGCTGAATGGACAAACACGGAGCTCATGTGAACCAATGGTTGAGTGCCTTACACCTAATGAGAAGAAGAGCCTTTGATAAAGCTGCTTTTACAAGACACTCCAGAAAGGGTGATATCCATCGTGGACTGGCTCCTCAGAACATACATGCAAAGTTCCATATGATGCTGCAATTCATTTCTTAAGTGTTAGCCATTTTTTCCCGTTTCCTCTTTAAAAAAATAGAAGTGCAAAAAGGAAAAAAAAATTTCCTTCATCAGGGGCATACACACATTGTCTCTTCACTGAATCACACTCTTTATTCATTCAATAACAATCTGATTGATTTCCATTGATCTGGGTAAGAATGGACCGAGTGAGGTATTATTATAGGGAAAAAAATCCTCTTAAGTTGCTTTTGTATGACAGTCCAATTAAAATGCATCTTCCAAGGACAGGGAGATTCTCAGGGAATTATGGCAAGTGCTCAAGTCCATACAAACCTGTGTAACTTGTGATTTGGCACCTTGAATCGTTGCCTGGTTTGGAATATTTTTTTTTTCAGTATTGAACAATAAACTGATTATTTTACATTTGAAAAAGTCAGTTTCAAGTATTTTTTTTTTTTTTTTAAATCTGCAAACAGAAAACCTGGAAAGGAATACAAATTCCTTCCTGGAAAACATGTATCCCTTCCTGCCCTCCCTCCACCCTCTGATAAATAACATGAGCATGCAGCGATTTGCCAACAGCAGCTCCAGGCATGAGGCACAACATCTGTTACCGAGACACTGGAGAGACAGTGGAAAGCAAGTTGGCTGCCTGCCCACCCTCAGACTCCAGATTTTTGCTGACAAGGCTGTCAATAAATGGGCAGATGGCATCAGCTCTGCTGGCAGGAGAGTTGGGCTAACCCAACACGGGACATTATCTCAAATTCATGGTGCACTGGGCTGAGCCCTTTGTTGGGCCATTAGAGCCATTCCTTGATAGAGAAGGGATATCAGGACTAGGAACTCGGGAGGCACTCGTTTCGTTTAATTAGATTAACTAAGCCTCCCACAATTGGCAGTCAGAATAAGATTAGCCCCTGTGACCGTGGAGGAGACTGGGGAGGGGTGTGGGGGATCTCATTCACACTTTGCATTTTATGCCGTTTGCACACAGGGACCCGCTCCTCGGTACTGTGCATGTTTCTGAGCAGACAGCTTGACCCAAAATAAACACTTGCTAGGAAAGATCTATGTCTGTCTCTTTTGCATGCAGGCTCACTCACCTATTGTCTTATTAGAACCGTATGCAAATATGCAAATAGGCTGGCAGCATTTAGATGAGAAGCCAGTGTAGCTCTGCATCCTGTCTACCCAGGAACAGCTCCACTAACCCTCTGGTGGTGACTTGGGGACAACACCCTTTCCTATCTAAGAATGGTTACAGCTATTTAGAATAGAAGTTTCTGGTGATTGCAGTGTGATCTCCATGAGCTAAGACAGATCTGCAGTGTGATCTGAAGCAAATCATTTAAACGACAGGCACTATTTTGCCATCTATACTGAACACTCAGCTGTTGGAAGTAATAAATGAGATAATTCCACACTTCTGCACTGCATTTTGGCGTTACAAAGCACTTTTGCATACTCTAAGATGGTAATTCTCAACTGGGGCTGATTTTGCCCTTCAGAAGACATTTGGCAATACCTGGAAACAAACTAGAATCTAGTGGGTAGAGGTCAGAGGTGCTACAAAACATCTTCTATTGCACAGGACCGATCAACAGCAAATAATTATTCAGCCCAGAATATCAATGCCAAGGTTGAGAAACCCTACATTAGGAGGATGTAAGTGAAAGTTTTTCACATACCTTGAAAATGAGAAGAAAGAAAGAGGGCCCAGCAGGCCATGTAGAGAGGAATCTAGGTATTTTGTTCTTAGTGTCTCCAGAAGATTTGCTTCAGTTTCACTATTCTGAATGTTATTTGCTATTTTTAACCCTTCCCTAAACCACCAGTTCCCCCAGTTTCTTCCAGCTATTCTTGTAAATCAGATCTGAATAATGAACTACCACATCCAGAAGAGGCTTTTAGTCTGGTTGGTCCTTATTAAATGAGAACATGCACTTGCCTAATAAGTAATCATATAAAGAGTTGGATAGAAGTGTGGTATAAAAAACCAGCCATTGGAATCTGAGATGTAAACAGGATAGGAGGGGTTTAAAGGAAATTAAGATGATTTCAGAATGTGTGGGGTTAGGAGTTTTGGATTTAACTGCAGATTTGGTTTCTTTTTTCTTTTCTCTCTTTTTGGATGGCTTTGGCAGATGAGAGAGGAGGGACAACTCACTCCCAGATTTGAAGGGGAAAATGCCCCTTTGGGGGTATCAATCAGGTAAACCCCTGTCCTATTTTCTGTTAGTGTTGTGGACTAAAAGGTGCCCGCCCCACGCCCAGCCCGTAAATTCACATGTTGAAGTTCTTACACCTAGTGCCTGGAATTAGGGCCATTGCAGATGTAACTAGTTAACATGAGGTCATACTGGAACAGGGTGAGCCTCTAATCCGGTAAGACTAGTATCCCTATAAAGAGCTGAAATTTGGACCCCCACACAGAAGACACCAGGTAGACATGAGAGCAGAGCACAGGGGGATGGGTCTACCAACCCAGAAGCACCAAAGAGTGCCAGCAACCTGAAGGAGCTAGGAGAGAGAGACCCAATAGATGGCTTCCTCCAGCTCTCAGATGGAACCAACCCTTGTTCTCAGGCTTCCGGGTTCCAGAACCGGGTGTTTCAGTCAGCTTTCTCACTTCTGTAACTAAAGGATTAGTTAAGAAGAGCAATTTTAGAGAAGGAAATGTTTATTGAGGTCCTCACTGTTATAGAGGTCTCAGTCCCATCAGCAGGCTCCATTCCCTGGGGCTTGAGGTGAAGCAGGACATCATAGTGGAAAAGTGTGGTAGAGGAGATGGGCCATTGGGGGTGTGCCTTTGGGGTATATATTTTGTATCTGGCAAGTGGAGTTTCCCTCTCTGTTTTTGCTTCCTGATGTGATGTCCTGGGACACTTTATTCCACCATATTCCTCTGCCATGATGTCCTGTCTCACCTCAAGTTCCAGGGAATGGAGCCAGCCTTCTATGGCCCGAGACCTCTAAAACTGTGAGCCCCAAAATAAACTTTTCTTCCTTAAAATTGTTCTTGTCAGGTCTTTTGGTCGCAGCGGCAAAAAAGCTAAGCCAAATGCACTGGGAGATACTAAGTTCTATTATTGAAGCCACCCAGTGTTTGGCACTTGGTTATGGTTATGGCAGCTCTAGCAAAATGATCAAACAGCAAGTGGGTAGGAATTGGGGTAATAGAAAGGCAGCAGAAAATTCTTGCTAGAGTCCCCCTCCCTCTCCCTCCAAGTCCTAGCCAACTGCTTCTAAGGAACATACACCTTGTTTGCTCAACCTAGGCACCTGTAGCCTGCACCCCCACCCTCTCCAGCAGGTAGAAAGAAGGAAGCCAGATGGTACATCAAGACTCCTCATTTCATTACACCCCAGGCAAGGTTTCCATGAATACCTGCCACACTGCTGGGTGATAGACTCCTTTCAGAGGCAGTTTTAGAGGGCAGGAAATGGGGGGGGGCTTGCTTTGGTTACTTCTACTCTATATCTTGGGGGCCTGGTGTTTCCACACCCCTAACAAATAGGGCTGGATTCACAGTTGTGCTCACCCCTGGATGCACATCAGTAGCACCTGGGAACATCAAAAACAAACAAAACAATATCTAGGGCCCCATTCCAAGCCAGAATCTCTGAGAGGAGGGCCCAGTCATCATCCACCCACTAAGGTGCAGCCAACACCTCGGATGCAGTCCAAACCCACTGGACTGGAAGGAAGTGTTCACTGTACACACAGACAGACCTGCTGGAAAGAGCAAAGAACAAATCATGTGATTCCTGTAGGACTCCGTGGTCAAGCCGTGGAGCTGGTGATGAAGAAGGCCTTGGAGGACTTTAAGCTGGGGACAAAAGTAGTCAGATTTCCATTTTAGAAAAAAAAAATTATCAATGATGAGAATATTTTGGAAAGAGGAGGAAAAAAAGGCATGAAGAACAATTATAAAGTCAATGTGGTATCCAAGTAAAGGGTGGAGGGGGATCTTAAAGAAGGCCATAGAATTGGGTTGCAATGGATTTGAATGAAGTTCAAGTGGTAGCACTTATAGGACTTTAGACACTGGTTAGATATGGGCACCAAGAGGGAGGGAGAAACCAAAAGGGAAGCCGAGTGTTTCTTGCTTCAGAACTGGGTGTTTGATGATGATGGTTATTGAGAAAAGGAACCTGGAAAAAGCCCCAAGTGAGTTCCGTTCAGATGTGCTGAGATGAAAGGGCCTACGGGGGAGACTGCAGCTCCTCAGGTCTGGAATTTGGGCAGGAATATTAAGTTTGAGTGGTACTTTTGGAAGTTGTCATCTCTTCCTGAGAATGACCTGAGAGTGAAAAGGGATGTGGACAAAATCCTGGGGACCACCAAGGTTTAAAGGGAGGGATAGGAAAAGGAGAAAGACCAGAGCAAGGGGTGTCATGCAGAAGTCAAAACAAGAGGCAATTTCAAGACAGAAATATTCCGTATGAGTGGAATATTACAATATGTGGAGCTTTATATATGGCTTCTTTCACGTTAGATAAGACCTCAGGTTTCATCCATGCTATAGCACATACCAGCATTTAATTTCCTTTTTATTGCTGAATAATATTCCATAATATGGATATATATATATATATATCACATCTTATTTATCCATTCACCAGTTGATGGGTATCTCTTTCATTGTAAATAACATTTAAGGGTTTGTAAATCACTACCTTTTATGGTTTAGATCTGGAATGGCCTCCAGAGGCTTATATGTTAAGACTTGGTCCCCAAATGCAACAGTGTTCAGAGATAGGGCCCTTGGGAAGTGATTGGACCAGGAGATCTCTGATCATCAAACTGTGGAAACTGCAGCTAGATGGGGCATAGCTGGGGAAAGAAGGTCACTGGAGGTGTGCTTTCGGAGACTCTATCTGGTCCCTGGCTCCCTGTTTCCTCACTGTCTCTGCTCCCCAGCTTTCATGAAGTGAGCAGCTTTCCCCCACCATGCCCTTCTACCATGATGTGTTACCACCCCTCAGGCCCAAAGCAGTGATGAAAATCTGACTAAAATAGTGCCTTGATCTGGGTTAGTCTAGGTCTTCTGTGAGGTAGAAGCCAAAATGGAACTCAATGAGTCAGTGTCTTATTAAGGGCATAACCCTTGAGAGAAAATGAGCTGGATATGGCTGTGAGAGTAAGATGCAAGTCTCCCTGGGTGAATGAGGGAAGAAGAGAAGGTTGGATAGAATCTCCTGTGCAAAGGAAGTTCAAGAGAGTCTGTATGCTGAAGACAGGTGTCAGAGGAATCCGAGGTCCCCTGTGCATGTGCCCAACTCCCTGCTGATCTCAGTCATCATCTGTGAGTAAGAAGCCAGGCCCAGGTGCAAACACAGCAATAAACCTCGGGGCACAGCAACCAAGGCCCTCAGTTTACAGGCTCCCTGTAGTGGGAGGTCTGTGCAGTGCATTCTCCCAGCCATCACATGTCTATGAAATGAATATTGTTATTATATCCATGTTGCAGAATGCAAGAAAACTTCATCTTAGACAGATTGTCTTACCCAATGTCCATCATGGTTTAGATTCGGAATGGCCTCCAGTCAGTGGTAGACAAAGTTACTGAACTCAGATTGCCTAAAGAACCTCTGCTTTTCCCCAACATGTTCAAAAATATTCCTGGAATCTGATCCCTCAGATTCTCAGGCATGTTACCATTTTGAAGTTCTCTTGGCTCATCATCCAGACCATAACCTCTGAGAAGCCTCCTTGCCTTCAGTTTCACTGCTTTCCAAGCTAATCTCTGAGCTAATACCATGACTATTTTGTAAAACTCACAATTGATCATGCACTTTGAGCATTTCCATGATAAACTCCTTTGATAGGTCTCCACTTTTATGAAATAAAACCAATCCTTTTACATGACTTGCAAGGTCTTCAGAATCCTTCCCTGTCTCCCACTTCTGTTCTCCAAACGCCAGCTGCTTTCTCTCACCCTCCACCACGTGCCCTACCCTTGGCCACATGAGAACAGTCTCTTTACCCCAAATTTCCCTCACTTAGTCTTGCCTTCTGCCCTCTCTGCCACTCCTGAATCCCTTCTCCATTTCTTTGGATCCGAGAGACTCTTTTCATCCTTCAAGATAATGGCTTTTCTCATCTTGGAGGGAGAATTCATGCTCCCAGAGAACTTTCCACATAAGTGATTAAGCATCTGTAAAGCTGCTGTGTAATTGATCAGCTAGTTTCTTGGACTCAGGACTATGGATTCCTTGAGGGTAGGGCCTCCGTCTAATTCATTTCCACTTTCCCTGTATTTCCCGCAGCTCCTGGGACACAGTAGCCACTTAATCAATGTTTATAGTCAACATGATTAAATCAATGGGATTCCATCACAAATCAAAGGCTTGCTTCCTGGTGGGCATTTCTACACTATTTCTTACTCAAAACTAGTGGCAGAAGCCACTGTCCTTAAACTTGTGATAAAAACAGGGTAGCATCATTGAATGGAATCAAGGCCTAAATAATCTATCATCTTCCCAGCTTCCTCCACAGTAATCATGAGCTTTCTGCTGGCTGTTCCAACTACAGGAACAAAGGAAGGACTTTTCTTCAATCACTTGTGGTACACTTAAAAATAATAATGATAATAAAAGACCCGGTTCCCCTAATATCTCTTTAATTCCTACCTAAAGTAGTTTGAGGAAATGGATATCTGATCCCGAGTCTTGTATAAAAAGAACAATGCTCAAAGCATGCAAATGTCAGAAAAGGCTAAAGCTTGTGGGGCCTTTTGATCTGCCGGAAGGAAATAGAAACAGGAATAAGTTCTATTAACTTCACATCAAAGTGAATTTGGGTCCCTCCTTTTCAACAGCAATTAACATGGCCATTTCATGATTTATTGTTTAGATGGAGTGATTCCAACACTCTATTAAAAAAAAAAAGCAGAAATGTAATCCTCCAGAGTTCTGGCAGGAATATCAAACTCCTCTCCCCCTCTTCCTTTCTGTAACTCGAATCATCCCTCTGGCATGCAGAGTCTGAGCTTCCCCGTGTCGGGTGAGTCTGCACAGAAGTGAGTGTGATGCTGGGGCAAAGATGCCTCTGCGAGTTTTGAAAATAGTCTGTATAAATCATCTTGTTTAGAGAGAGCCATCAGTAGTACAACCCCAGTTTTAAATATATATATCTCCTAATTACAAATGCAAAGTCAGAGCCAACCCACAGTCAGAAGGAGAACAAACTGGGAACCGGAAACAGAG